TACGATCCCTGCCTCTGATAGGATTTGAGATATCTAAGCTTCCGACAAACCTCTCGACTTTGTGATTGTTCTTCATCAGGTTTTTGAAATTGCATTCCCACATGGTGACTAGCGAGTATCCTTTTGATTTCAACCACTCTTCCCTTGCCAGTAGCCTTTCGTAGAGGGATGTCATACTGAGTTCATTCTTGCGATTCGTCTCATTCCTTCTGGGAAAACACTTTGGACAACCGTGGAAGTAACAACCGTAGTATTCATAGGTTTCGGTAGAAGCATCATATCCGTCTACGTAATAAAGTCCAATTTTCATCTCCCTTCTGGAATTACGAACATGTTGAATATGCGTGTTATTGACGTGTGCCTTGTATTCCATCCATCTTATAGCATCTACGGATTGATTCTGGGCGCTGAGGTACCCTTTCTCAGGCACAACCCCGATTGTGTCAGGAGTCAGGAAATGCTTTCGAAATATGATGTTGCACACGGAAGCGATCGTGATGCAATGGTTGAAGGGGTCAACTTTGGTGAGATCCATCATCATCGACCTAAATGCCAAACAACACTCCTCGAGTATGCGCACGTCGCTCCGACAGTACTTGAGCAGTTCTTTACGTAAATCATAAACGGATTTCTTTTCTACTTCTCCATTGTACCATGTGTAGAATTTTTTTCTAGGCTCCTCCTTCATACCATCTGGGTCAAAATAACGATCCTTGGGTATGGGTCCTCTGTAACTCTCTCCAGCGGTTTTCAGAATCAGGTGGGGAAAACAGCCTTTGTGTAACTCGTCTATGCCAAAGGACTTAGGAAGTTTAGATAGAGTCATGGGCAGGAAATTCAAGCTATCAATGAATTTGATATCTGCACGACGGATGTATAGTTGCATGACTTTTGAACCATTCATGATGACTTAGGGTAGTATCTTGTGATCGTGACAGTATTTCAGAATCATAATTCCATCGTACCCCTTTGAATTATGCGCGATGAAAATCATCCCATTATGCTCTTTTTCTAACGCCCACTCGCAGAAATCTTCCAAGGTACGTAAACCATTGAACACTTTCTCCGTATTCGGTGGAATTCTCACTACGCACAGATCTGGAATATGAGTGCAATGTTCGTCGGTCGTGCATTCAAAATCGTAAAAGACGTAGTTACCATGGCTGTCAGAGTTATCCTCCTCAAATTCTTCCATCGAATCGTCAGATTCTTGGTTCTTTCTTCTATCGGTGAGTGGTTGAATGTAACACAAGTGGTCGTACGTCTGAAACTTCATTACATTTGTGAGACCCATCATGATATTTGAGGAGTTTGTGGCATTTTTCGCAACGTTAAACTGACTGGCAAAGAGTTTTTTCCCATTAACTAACTTTTGATGCCTTTCGAAACATTCTTTGTTCTTGAAAAATCTGTGACAATTTCCGCATTTTTGCCATCGTGTAACCACGCAGTCCAGTTGATTTCCACAACTCAAACACCCAGTCGGACACATGCGATCGTAACAGTGGGAATAATACTTGTCACATCAAGTGCAATAGTAGTCCTTTCCCAGAAAACCAGTCATTTTTGTGATGACGTTGTAGTGTTTATGCGGCATTGCCCACAAAGGTGATGGAGTCAAAATGATCGTGCGACAATACATGTATTCTGAAATCGGGTAACACGCTCTGGAATTTTTTAATCTCTTCAATGCAACATGGACCCTGTTCGACTCTGGCCTTCCGTAAAAGTTCTCTAGCTCGGACGGTTTGCATAGAGTAGTTCGCCGTTTTTTCCTCTTTATAGAATTCCACACCGATGGTGGATTTTCGCAACACATCTGGTCATCGGAAACGATTTCAATGACAGATTTGGAATTTCTCAACCTGTCTGTGATCTTTGTATCAAACTGTCGCTTCCTCCCACGTGTTTTGCCGGCACCAAGGGGCATTTCAACAGATACTGTCCTGATGGTGATGTTTTCCTCGAGGGATATATCTTGGTAAGATTGTAGAATCCTCTCCACTTTGGACATCACCTTGTCAACATTCATGTCCTCAACCGGTATAAATGGTAACCAAATGTCGTTGTTCAAGTTGGATACGTTTATGGAAATGCGAATTTGGTCACGTCCGTCAAGCTCGAGCAGTTGAAAAGTAGCGTGTAATACGCTATGCACTTCATCGAACGTATTGGCATTTGGATGCGAAACTTTTATGACCCAGTCCGTTCCACTCACCTTAAACTTTTTGACAAAACGTTTTCTCTTGCTGACAAAATTGAAATTAATCTTG